CGTTTCAGCAAGTAGATATCCATATATTTAAATGGACCTTGTTGGAGCATACGTAATCCTAAAATGTAGCATCGTACTACAGATGGCGTTTACCGCGCCATTTGTGGTATTTTCTAGAAAAGGCTATTTAAAATAACGAAGTTATTGTGCACTTCCGGTAGAATTGGAAATATTTTCAATAGACCTTTATTACCTGTAGAAGTGTACCTACCGACTATTAAATCGATACCTATTTCCGTTTTTATAAACCTCCAATGAACGGTATAGATCAAACACCCTGTATATTCGTTTTCATTAAATTTCATAGGTAAAGTTAGTTAAAGCACATTTAATAATATTAAATGAGCAAGATGTTATACAAACAAGAATTGAAACATCCTGTAGGTATTTAAGGTACCTAAGAGAGTAAGCATTTCGGGCAATCAGGAAGTCCAGTACAACCGGAAATAATTTAAATACATGGAGCAAATTAATTCGTATCGGTTTTAGATATAGTTCAACCATTGTTTTGAAGTAAGTTCCGAACACCTGCAAGTCCTCAATAATAATATGTAATTAAACGCAAAATTAAAGACATAATTTGGCCTCTTGCTCGTTTACTTTGTTCTGATTGGTTTTAATCTGTTTAAAACATAAAAGTAGTGTGCATAGCCTTTGCAGAAATATCTAATAATCAACTCACCGGGAAAAGCAATCTTTCTTCTAAATAAAATTCTTCCTTTTTAATTAAAATCCTCTGTCGCTGTCACACGTTTAATTCAAACTTAAAACGTAAAACATAATTACCTATTAATTATAAAAATTCTGCACAAACGAACGGCGCGGCGATTTTATTCATCACAAAGGAATTTCGGTGATTTATCCGACCGGCTTTAACACGTGCTCGATTACGATTTTTACCCAGAACTGAACTAATTTCAATTGGAACGACCAAGGAAAGAGGGGATCATCCAATACACTTATACGTATAACGTGTCTTATCTGATTTAAAAAAATGCCACAATCGAGAACATGCCTGATTGCCGTTGTTTGCTTAACTCGAGGTCATCTGCAGACGTTTTCGTCCTTCTTATACACAAGCATATTATTACAGCCACAAAAAAAGGAGTCTTGCGACGAATTATTGTAAACAACATTATCGGATGAAAAAGAATTCGACGAATGACGTTATTACGGCTTGTAATATTTCACCAATTATTATGTAAGGTTAGTAAGTATTTAAATCCATATTATCAGTTTCCTTTACTGGTCATTATTCAAAATTAAGTTGAAACGGAATAGAAGATGTCAATGTCTAAATGCAAGTGGTCTACGTAACTAATAAATTAACTAACCTAACCTGACCAGTAAATAATTGCTGACTCATTTATGTGTTGACCATTTATAGTCGTAGAAATAAAAGCACAAAAATGGGTAGAACCATCGAATTTTTGTGCAGTATCTTGGATAGAGATGCGGTTTGTGAGCACGAGAGGTCATATCATCTTCAAAATTGTACCAGTGCATAAGAAATATGACCCCTTTATATGTGCATTACAAAGTTGTTATATAAAAAAACTCAGTCAATAACGATGGAAATAAATCCAATTTTGTTACTCGGGGGTTTGAGGATCGTTGAACACAAATATGCAGCGGTGACGGCCTCCGAGGTACCTGAGTAATAAATAACTTTTTTTTTACAGAAAATATTCTTTAAAAAAAATAACCATAAATTTGCTGAATTTCATCATCATCATAAGGTCGTGAGTCCTAAGACTGGTTGGACACGCACCTCCACTATTTCCTATCCTAAACTAATCTTCGCATTTCCCTAAAACTAGAACAACTCACATCCTGAACTATTTGCGAACAGTAATATAATCTAGGTCTACCTCTACTCTACTTAACTCCCGTTTCTGCCTCTAATATATCTCTGACTAGACCTTCATGTCTGAGAAGGTATCCTACCAATCTATCTCGCCTATTTATTATTAGATTCCATAGAGTCCTTTGTTCTCCTATTCTTTCAAATACCTCTTCATTTTTAACCTTCTCTATCCACGGTATCCTCATGATATTAAATATTTTCCTGCAAATAAGGCAAAATATTTACTAAATTCAGAAACTACGAATTTTTTTCTTTTTAAGTTGAAAAATGCATTACTTGCAGAACGTGTCGAATATGATTTTTCAGCCACTTCTATCTGATTTTATAAAAACCCAACCTAACACAACTCAAACACTTTTGAACAAAGCCTTTAAATTTATTGGACTTACATTTCATACTTTATTACTTATATGAAAAGTTGGTTGAATGTATTTTTACAGATTTCCCTGTACCACGTCGCATTTTTAAAAAAATGATGTCGCCCATTCATGATGAAGTACATATAATGGTATAAGTATCTCTATTTTTGATTCTTAATTCGCCTGTTTTTTATAAAATTAATTAATCCTTTGATTAAGAGAAATTACATATTAAGAAAGAAAGTACTTCCTTTTTGGTTGAAAAAGTATTTTAAAATTTTTAATAAGTACTTACTGTTGTTGAATATCAAACTTACATACATTTACCCTTTTTAAATAGCTATGCAACAAGCCGTGCAACACAAAATTGATTCTCAACTTTAAAAATAAAATTGTACATAATCTAACCACATATTATTCCTAGAGAATACTAAACAGTTTAATAGATAAAAATAATAATAAAGGGAGAGGAAGCGAGGAAGAACGGGGTAGGAAAGCTTCCCACTGATGGAGCGGGTGTGGGAAACGAGAACGGAAAAGGTTTGCATTGTCAATATGTAATTAGTACTTTGCGGCAAGATAGGGGTTACGGAAGAGGGGAAGGGGTATGAAAAGCTTTTAATTTTAAATAAAAATTGTTCCACTTCTTATGCTTTTTGTAGGTTAGGTCATGATAGAGAAAGGTTTACCTCATTGTATGAATGAAGCTCGAAATTTGTTTTATTTATCAAAAGAAGTTTTCAGCTCGAAAGAAGCTTTAACTATTCCTCCCTGCTCCCACCAGAATACTAATTAATTATTATCGAACCGATTTTTTTGGTTTACGCTCTCCATAAAGGGGAAATGTTTTCCTACCCCAGTGTCCGTCTCCGCCCTCTCATACGTCCGTTATAATGTCACAGGATATTAAAGCCGAACCACCGAATAAAAAGTTAAACTGATTTACATCCAGAAGTTCTATCGTATATCTTATTAGCTAAATATTGTAAATGGTCCGAATGGATTTGGGACAATCTCTCCAATTCTAAAGAGACTTTGTCTAAGTTTAACGCATGATAAGAGTTGGTCAAATGTAAGGCGCACAAGATAATGCTACAGGGCACATAACAACTATTAACCACCAATTTCTGAAACACTTCAAAGGATTCTTCATTCTTTGAATAAGTACGTTTCAATTCGTGGAAAATCCGGAACCATGAAATGACCGTCAAATTCAACAATTCCGAACACAAACTACTGATATCAATTCTCAATTCTAACGGTTTCACATAGTACATATAAAACGTGTTCAAGTCGTCCATTTTCGATTTGAGTGGCAGTTTGTAGTCAAGACTCCTCAAAATGTCCATTTCACATTTTCTAATTGTAATATTATCGAAATCTCTACACGTTACCCTTTTTAAAAAGGATTTCACATTTGTTATCCGAAGCTCAGATTGTTCTCCGACGTGTTTGCTGCATACGAAAATTGTACACACTACATCTAGGACACAATCACTAATAACGGCGTTTTGATCATTTTTTACCCTTATGTACTGCTCTAACACTTCTGTGCTCATTATAAAAACGTGGTCGTCCAAACGTAATGAATCGCAGCAAAGTTTTATCAAATCCACGGTTGATTTCTCCATCAAGGGTTCCGAATAAGGTCTTGAAGCAATTATCATTTCCTTGTACCACTCCTTAACAAGATACTGATGTATGTCGTCCTTTTCTGTGTGCTTCATTATTGACATGTTTGGCGAATAAATTCTGATTTTGTAAACGTTTATTATGTTTTACGATCAAATTATTTCAAAATTGAAATTTCTGACATTTAATTTGACAAGTGATATAGGTACATACATATCTATTTCATTTGACAGGATCGTGCGTAATGGGTCTGTCATACATAATGTAAATGTTCACTTGATGTTGAAATCGAAAAACGTAGATTGAAACTGAAAATCAAGGACTTTGATATGTTACATTTCCTTAGAATAAACAAATGGAGAGTAGAGTGCTGCTTATACTCACTCCATTTGAAATTGATACAGATGTGAGTAGAATCTCAAACATGTGAGTGTATATTCCTTTAGTGAGGCTCTAGTCGTTCTTTGAACAGCGACTCAGATTTTTGTATGTAGAGATAAGTGTTTGCTAGTACTACTTTTAAAAATAGGAGCACCTCCTTGCTTCAATCCGGAGTAGATACATTTGAGTGGGCAATCAACTAGATGCATAAGTGAGATACACGAAACTGTTCCCACCCATAGTAGCTACTGCAAATTAAGCTAAGGAATTAATCCCATTCTTGAAATTTTCATCATTATCAGAAGGTCTTGGTAAATTATAAGTTCCACTGTACATAATTGCGGTGGACGTACAAGGTGTCGGAAAGATTTTGGGGTCAGTGCCGTGACGCGAAGATAGGTCCCTCCTGCACAAGATGGTTCTAGGATTTCTGCTTTATCTCCCAGAAGCAACAGCGAAACCTGCAGGTAGACAACACGACATTTACTCCTAAAATTAAAGTCATTTGCAGCCGATCCCACTGAATGTGAGAAAAGGCCAGAACCTTATTAAAAGATGTGTGATCGAGGATTGCAAAAATGGTTATATCCATCAAACGAAAAGCAATGTGTTGAGGATCAGAGGAAGGTGGCGATTCCATAGAATCGAGATGGATTATCAGTGCCGAAATACAAGTAATTCGATTCTAAGAATATCTGACCAGTGATGGAGACTGACATTATGGGAGGCCCGGGAAGCTCAAATTGGAAATTCTCATACCTGCTCGACCATTTAGAGGTGGCAGTGATTACATCTCGCATACTGGACGGGTGCGCAGCGTATATCTCGATTCCCAAGCCTACTAATCCAGGTCGGAATAAGATAGGTCTTCCTGCATGAGATGGTTCTAGGGTACCCTGCTTTAACTACCAGAAGCAACTGGCAGTGGTGATTTCAGCCACCTGCGCCTGTGGAGTCGTGGTGGTGTGTAAACCGCATGATACGAATGACCACATTGTCCTGGCTGCACCTTCGCTTTGTCTCTGGCACTTTAGTCTGTATTTATTTCACAACTCAATTCATAATGCTCAATTGATGCTCTATGTTTATGGGTCAAACCCTTTGTACCAGTACGGTATCTGAGTGATTAAGGAAGTGGGAACGGTATTTTTTTTCGTACTATAAAATACAAATCAAAAACAGAGTATGGAAACAAAATCGCGAGATCGATTCATTTCGAACAATGATTATCAAAAAATTTCCATCATCCATGCATGGATTTCCTTCTTTGACTTCAGATGTGTATATAATTCTAATTCCATTAAACCGTGCAATAAAATTTGTGAAAGGCTTTGAAAAGTACTGTTACCGATGTTATGGATACAAACAAGAATGTTTTAGACTACGGCAGATGCAAACAACATTGACAGTTGGTCAGTATAATTATTGGATCACAGATACCTACCTGTACTATTCCTCCATTGACGTCACACTGGTATACCGCGTTTTTTAGATCTACATTGTTAAAAAACAGACGCAATCATAAATAACCTTTGTTTACGTGCCAATTATATCTTTTTTTGTTGTTATATAAGTGTTGCAATAGCAATAGAAAGCTATAGAAAAACATGTTCATTTCTGTACTTTTATTAGAATTATTTATTTATTGTATAACATGTATCTACATGCATAGGAATAATTGTGTTTACTTTTTGGGCTTTTGTAATAACTTTGGCAACTAACAATAAGAAAATCATTAAAAATTTACGAAATTTAATGTATGCGTTTAAAGAAAAGGAAGCAATTCTTTTCAACAGGCATTTGAAATGTCAATTCAAATAGCTCAACGATAAGCATTAACTTAACCTATATACTAAACTCAGTAGTTAAAGGTTAAGTTCTTTTTTATTTAGATATATATATGGAACAATTATAAAACGATTAAGTAAATGATTAGGCCTGCTCGTCAAACCATATCCAGAACAAGATAGCACTTTATATGAACCAATCAGGAAATTATTTTCCACATTTACTTAATCTAAACCCCTAGTTGCTCATAAGCCTATACACATGTTAATCAGGGAAATCATTCCTACTATAAGTTAGTACAAACCACTAAACCCCTGATGCGCACCATTTCGCAAAAGTCATTCAAGAAATGTTTTGTAACCATAATCTAACATAAGCCATTAAAGATATCAAAACTTAACCCTAACTATTACTGCATAGCACCTCACTCGAGCCAATCAGGGAGTCCTTTCTCATCATAGACATAGAGAGTGGACTGCGCATTCCCTAATTAGTTATAAAGCAGAAATGTGTGAGAGAGACAAAGCGAAGAAGAATTTTAATCAGTTTACGTCAGACTCTTGCAGGAGCGGAAAAAACAGAGACAGAGTCTCTTTCTAAAGGGTGATCAATTTCATAAGGGTAATGCTCAGTCCATTCTCTATGTCTATGTTTCCTCATCATAACATAACCTAATTTCATGGGGCATATCATTTCACACAAGCTAATCAGGCAAATTTCTTACACTATAACCTAACGTAAGTTCAAAGTTCACATAAAAAAATCAAGGTTATTCCACACCGTAACCACCGAGTGACATGGCTTAGTAGCTTAGATCATTGCTTAGCATTCGGGAGGGTATCGGTTCAATTCGAAGCTTTTCTGTGATTTCCTTGGTTCACTCAGAGAAATGATCTCTTCATTTAGTGCGTCTTATCTTTCTCATTCCAACCACTATCAACCCATTCTCACGACTCCTGAAAGCCCACTAGCATTGAATGAAACACCCAAATTTAAAAGTCATAACCTCATACTGGTACGCAATGGAAGAAAAGGTTGGGAAAGAGCGAATATAAAGACAGGAGACGAAAAATTAGAAGAAGTGGATGATTTTAGGTATTTAAGAAGTCAGGACGGAATGTTTTTTTATTATTCAAATATTTACATAAATTTAAATGTACTTGATTTTTAACATTGTTTGCATCACTGTCATCATTAATTTCAATTCTCAGACTTTTTGTACTTTTAATTATTTCATTGTGTTCTAAAAAAAATACAATAGGCTTATGGTAACTAAAGTAAGAAATGAAAACGTTTGATTGAAATTTATCTAAGTATCGCGTAAAAACCGCATCGATCGTCGTAGCTGTATAGCTACAGATATACTCAGATATACTGCTACAAGCATGTCGGTGACGCGAACGCACTAGATTTCACCCATCCAAAAAGCGTCTAACGCCGACAGCACACGGCCGCTGCGCGTGCGCCAGTCGTGAGCATGTCGCTGACGCGAACCCATAACATTTTCCCCTGCCGAAAAGTGCCCAACGTCGCTAAAGAAGTTTTCACTAACAAAAAAATGGTTAGAAGCGTTCGAAATGTGGTGTTACAGGCGAATGATGCATGAGGATACCGTGGATAGAGAAGGTTAGAAATGAAGAGGTATTAGAAAGAACAGAAGAACAGAGGACTCTATGGAAGTCAATAAGAAATAGGCGAGAAAGGATAGTAGGACACCTTCTCAGGCATGAAGGTCTAGTCAAAGTCATATTTGAGGCAGAAACAGGAATTAAGAGATGCAGAGGATTACTGTTCGCAAACAGTTAAGGATGTGGGTTGTTCTAGTTTTGGGGAAATTCGAAGATTAGCTCATGATAGGAAAGAGTGGAGGTGCGTGTCTAACCAGTCTTAAGACTGACCACCTTATGGTGATGATATTGAGATTTTATCTATCGACATGCGTTTAGTCGTAGCCACTACTACATTCTATTTGTGGTCCTACGGTATGGTCCTACTAATAACAACGTAATATTGTCATTTAATCACACATACATAGAACGCTGATAATATTTGTTATTAGGAGCCTATCGTTGAATATGGAATACCATTAGGTAGGTAAAATGGGCGCATAGTTACTAACTAATAATCGGTCACTCGGTTACAATTTACTGTTTATGTCACGAATATTTGGTCAGTATGGTTCCGGATATTTAGGTGGAAGCCGTGCGAATTGTTTCAGCTCGATATCATCGACAGATGTATGACGTGAACCTCGTGAACGTGGAAGATGACGGGCTTGAACTCGCGACGGACATCCCAGAGTGTAAAATCTCTAACGGAACCCCATGACGACTTGTAACTGGTTGGTTACGTATCTTCTGCAGTCCGGCCAAAAAATACCAGCTATTGTATAACCATAACCGGTAGAACGATAAAAGCAAAACAAATACAGGAACAGCGTGCTGTTACAAAGCAACCACTAATCAAATAAAATGTTGTTGTTAAACGAAATAAATAATTAAATGAAATAATGTTTATATATTGTGAGGCAGAGTAGGCACAAAAAGTAGGTAGCAACTGTTACAATTATTAAATCATTGATTTGAAACCTTTCGTTAATTTTCTCCAATTATTCCCGCTTCTCAGTATCTACTTATAGGACATCGTGATATTGATTGATATGTATATAATTTACGAACGATACGATGTAGATGATATTGATAATGATACCCTGGGTGTTGAAAGGCGTTTAAGGATTATTGTAAAGGTTTGTACATGAATTGAATTGTTTTTATTTTTCTTATGTTTTATAAATAAAACAGTGATCTTTAAACACCGTTAGTAGTTCCATAAGCACATTTGTTTTAAGACCGTTAATTGAATAAATGATTGTTATATTCGACCTTGGTTAACATAATACCGAACATATAAATTTTGTGTTTATTGGCAGATCTCCGACATCTGTTGCACCTCAACCCATAAAAC